CTTGATATCATGACAGTTACTAAAATTCTCAGTGATAGAGGAACCAATAGTATTGGAGATTTCGAAGTGCAGTATATATTTGATCCACCTGCTAAAAAGATAGTTAATGAGTAAGTTAACAAGTTATAACTTTTTATTAGTAAAATTTGATCCCTATCCATATGAAGCTTTAAATATTTCAAGAGTATAAAATTACATACAATATTGAATGCAGTTATGTATATTAGATTTGTACTTTTTTACTGCATTTTCTGGAATATTTAGCCCAATACAGACCCGTCGTGAAACAATTTCTTTCAGTCGAGTTTTCAAAATCTCCGACTTGTGTTTAGCTAGTATCCAAAGCCAACAAGTCATAGATTGATGTCAAGTATTTAAACTGTCTGTGCTAGAGAAACCTTTCTATTTATACGGATAGGAAACGGTTTATATTAACGCGCTTGTTGGTGCAATAAGTATTTGAAAACATTATGCAAATAAATCTATTAAATTTAGTTAAAACAAAGAAGAAGAAAATACCAAGGGAACAGTCAAAAATTACAAATAGAAACACAACAGACAAAACCACGACAAAAGAGAATAAGGACGAAAAGACAGCAATCTACAGAACAATACACAAAAAAACTAAAGACCGACCAAGCCGAACGCCACCGAAAGACCAGGGATGATCTTAGGTGCTAAGAAGGGTAAGCAGACACCGCTCTGTCCCTATTGCTCATGGCATAACAAGGGTACAAGTCGCATTCGACGATTTCATAATCGTAGAAATGAAGAGGGACTGCGATTACGACAATAAGAACACATCCATGATCTACTGTGACACAGGTATTCCATAAAGGTAAAAAAAAATCGTGATAGCGTTGTAAAACTTTCGACGGAATGACTTTAACTTAACTATTAGGAACTCTTGGTGCAGTAGCTTCCTTGTAGTAACTGTCTATAGAGGACATTATGATAGGAAATACAATATCTTGAATATTGTATCTCAGAAAGCTGAAATTGTCTAGATCTCTTTAAAAGTTGTTGTTCTCAGCCGACTCTCATTGTCAATTTCTAGATGGAGGTCAGGATGTGAGTAAAACTTTATTGTATCTGTAGTTTCCTTTATTTCAAGTTCGATGGGTCAGATTCGTTCAATATAGTCACCACACTTTGCATTATTTTGTGAGAGGAAATCATATATATATAGCTGAACGTGAGGCAAGAAAATAAAAAGCTTGATTCGTTTCATTCTTCTTAAGAAGCTCTAGTATGAAGTCTGTCTCATATGAATTATACAACTCGTCGAAAAGAAGAGAATCACAGTTGGTTTTCTCATGAATGATGATTGTCTTTCTAAAAACGCGTTTCAAAAGTAACAAATATACTGTTATTAAAAAACAAATAGGCACCTTGATGGTGTCAGTTTCAGAAAAAAAAATATTTGAATCAGAATGTTTCGTTTGCAAAGTATGATTTATTTCTTCCCAGGTTATTATCAGTTTTTCTAGGTTCATGAGTGTTGAGTGTTCTTTATGTATCCGCTTCTTTTTTTCATAATACAATATATTTGTCCCTACGTTGACCATTCATAAAACAATATATTTTTCCCTACGTTGACCATTTATAAAACAATATATTTGTCCCTACGTTGACCATTATTTTAACACACAGCTAGACCAATTCGTTTAATGTGTCTAGTTTAGATTGAGGAATGAGTGTCTCTTTTATGCCCCACCTACGAGAGTAGTTGGGGCATTACGTTTTCTGGTCTGTGCGTCCGTTCGTCCGTCCGTCCGTCTGTCCCGCTTCAGGTTAAAGTTTTTGGTCAAGATAGTTTTTGATGAAGTTGAAGTCCAATCAACTTGGAAACTTAGTACACATGTTCCTTATGATATGGTCTTTCTAATTTTAATACCAAGTTAGAGTTTTGACCCCTATTTCACGGTCCACTGAACATGGAAAAATGATAGTGCGAGTCGGACATCCGTGTACTATGGACACATTCTTGTTTTGTATCTTTCGCCTCTTTTTTCTTTCTTTCATTAAAGAAGATATTTGTCCCTATATTGACCATCATTTTTACACACAGCTAGACCAATTTGTTTAATGTGTCTAGTTTAGATTGAGGAATGAGTGTCTTTTTTTTGTATCTTTCGCCTCTTTTTTCTTTCATAAAACAAGATATTTGTCCCTATATTGACCATTCATAAAACAAAATATTTGTCCCTATATTGACCATTCCTTTTTCAAAACACAGCTAGACCAATTCTTTTAATGTGTTTAGTTTAGAATGAGGAAACTTTGAAATAACTCACTTAATCATGTCTAGTTTAGATGAGGAAAACTGAATAAATCAGTGAATTATTTCAAAGTGATGCATGTTTTTGTTTTATTTTAAATTGTTAAATCAGATGTTCTTATAAGAAAAACTGTATTTTAAGTACGTAATGCTTGCAGCAGAAGGTTATCAAAATTCAATGTATGAAACATAAGAAAGTTATAGCAGTCGAATATTTTTTTTTCAGATTCAGAGAAGAATTAAAAGATATTAGTAAAACAATCAAAGAAAGGAACAAAAAGAGAGAACCACCTTACATCTGGCTTGACCCTGACTTTGTGCCTAATTCGATTAGTATTTGATATGATATCACATTTTACCATCATTGTTTTGTGCCATTTTGAACTTTTTTTCCAGTCAAAAGTATAAAATGTGTAAAATATTTTGTGTTTTTGTATATGCCTACCCAAACTATTGAAAAAGATTGACAATTAACGTTAAAATCTAATGTTTTCGATAACAATGCTTTTAACCAGATTCCATGTGATCATGTGACGTTCTATGGTTAAACATAAGAAAGATATATAAGACGATGGTTTTTTTTAAAAAAAAAGCTCAGAATATATGTATTTCAATAGAAAACGTATCCGAAATTGAATTTATAAACACTGAATAACTTATAAAAGTTCAAGAGTAAGTACGATTGAATGACATGAGAAGACAAATCTAAAATAAGATATAGACCATCTTATTTTTAGAGGCATCATTTAGAAAGATCTTCTAGTATTTTCACTTCACATGCTTGCTACTGTATAAGCATAATTAACAGAATTTCCTTGTTCATTTCAATAACAGTAGTAGAGCACGAAATTGTGTTGCTGGTCATTTTTGCTGTTCACAGTTTCTAAGTATCTATAATTATAGTTTTCGAGATTAAATGGATAGCATATTTAATTCTGAATAAAATAATAAAATGAAAAAGAAACTTATAAACTTTGTGTGTCCGAAGTGCTCTTTTGGTCAAAGGGGTAATTGACAATTTTGGCCATGTAGACTTATTCTAATATTTAATTCTGCTGAACATTTTTTATATTTACAACTTCAATCTTTCTATTATAGTTTCTACTAAAACTGTTAAACAATGTTAAAATTGTTTATCAAGGGCAATAACTGCTATATGGGTCAATTGACAATATCCATCATGTGACTTATCTTGTTGAACATTTTCTCCATTTAAAATTTTCCTCTATCAAATATAGTTCTTGCAAATAACGGAACGACCATTTAACTTCAATGGGGGAAAAGGGGGGGGGGGGGGGGGGTTATGGTTTTTTCCTAAAAAAATATTCTGATCCCCAATTTGATGAAAAAAAATATTGTGGTCAAGCAGATGACAAAAAAAAAATTCTAGTTCCAGATTTTCCCCATACCTTAAGTTTAATGGTTGCTCCATAACGCAAAACCCTGTTTCAGTGGTTTGGTCTATTTCTCAGACACTATAAGCAATAAGTCAACTATATTTGGCGTATGGAATGATTTTTAAGGGGTACATGTCCGACTGACAGATTTCATCCGACCTTGACCTCAATTTCATGGTTCATTGAACAATTTTGTTTCAGTGGTTTGGTCTATTTCTCAGATACTATAAGCAATAGGTCAATTATGTTTGGCGTATGGAATGATTTTAAGGGGAACATGTCCGACTGACAGATTTTATCCGACCTTGACCCCAATTTCATGGTTCATTGAACAATGTTTAGTTTTTGTGGTTTGGTCTATTTCTCAGATACTATAAGTAAAAGGTCAACTATATTTGGTGTATGGAAGGATTGTAAGGGGTATATGTCTGACTGACAGATTCATCTGACCTTGACCTCAATGTCATGGTTCATTGAGCAATGTAGTTTTTGTGGTTTGGTCTATTTATCAGATACTATTATCAATAGGGCTGCTATATTTGGTGTATGGAATGATTGTCAGATGTACATGTCTGTCTGCCAGGTTTCATCTGACCACGACCTCATTTTCATGGTTCGTTGGACAAATTTTAGTTTTTGTGGTTTGGTCTTTTTCGCAGATGTTATAAGCAATAGGTCAATTATATCTAGTGAATGGAATAATTGTGAGGTTTACATATCTGTGTTGCAGGGTTCATATGACCTTGACTTCATTTTCGTTGTGCATTGGTCAATTATAAATTTTGTGATTTTGTCAGTTTAATAGATACTATTAATAATAGGTCAACTATATTTGATGTATGGAATGATTGTAAGGTGTACATGTCTGTCAGGCAGGGTTCATATGAACTTGACCTCATTTTCATGGTTCATTGGTCAATGTTAAGTTAATATGATACTTGTAGTAAAACCTTCATATTACAGATATCAATTCAATGATAAGTAAAACAGGCGAGACATTTCAGCGTTTGCACTCTTGTACCCATTAGAATATTATCTCTCTGTATTAAAGTGTCCGCAAAAAATGTAAAAATGGGTAAAATTAATTGACGATTTTGATCATTTGATATATTTGTAGATCTTATTTGCTGAACATTTTACTATTTAAGGATTTTTCTCTACCATAGATTCCGGCCTTCAACAATTAGCAAAACCCATACCGCATAGCAAGGCCCCGATGTGTTAAAAGTAAAACAATTCAAACGAGAAAACTAAGTTTGATTTACAAAATACATTGTGAAAACTATTATAAGTTTAATTTACAAAATACATTGTCTTAACAAATAGGAAAATTAACACCATACTTCTATAATGGCACTTGGACCAAATAGACGTACATGAATTGATGCCATAGCGATCAATCCAATAAAAATTGAAAGAACTATCCCAACAATATGGTGGCTGTGAAGCATACATAAGGTGCTGAGTGGCGTCGTAATATGCTGTGGTACAGTTCAATGGGCTGATAACACTTTTAATGCAGTGTTGCGCTTCATCAACCAATCTAAAATAATCAATTCAAGTTAATTAGAAAGTGTAAGCTTTACTGCAAAAAATGCGAAGATATTCACATGTGTTACCATGGTCTGGTGTAGTATCTATCTACTGCTACTGTATATGTTTTTATAAAAAAAACCCGGAGAAAACGGATATTCTGCTGATTCATTTACATTAGTTACCTTATAAGTATCACAAAAACAGCACAACCGACTAGTATCATCTCAACTACCCCCGAATCGTAAATTAATATATGTCCTTCGTCGTAGTTTGAACGGCGCTAGGTTAAAATTTCTTGGTTTGTATATAGAACATGGATTGATGAGTTTAGAACATTGTTAGACTGCTGTCGTCTCTTATTCGTTACATTTAAAACATGCATTATGTGGTCATGCCCTTTCTCTGATATAACAATTCCTAAGTAATACAAATCACGGTAACATGGTCATCAAAACACGTGATAAAATGTAAAATTAGATGGATTAAATATATCGTATTGCTAAAATGTAAGAAAGGAATGGGACACAAGTAATCCCAACTTACAAAGGTCCTTGTTTAACAATAAAAATTCACTAATTAACGTGTCGGTAATAATTACATTTCAAATAATATCATGTGCAAAACAATACAGCTATAGGAACTGAACCTGAACATCTCAATTTAGAATCTGTACTAATATCATACTCAAATGTTAATACAGTATATTGTTTCGCCATTAAAAACAATAGCAGGTTTTTCAGTTATTCAAGAGTTTGAATAGACCAGATATTCATTTAGGGGTGGGGGGGGGGGGGGGGGGGGGGTGGGGATAAAAATTCACTTCCCATTGTTTAGACCTGTTATATATGTCTGGATTTCAGAAAATTTCAATTATACTAATGTTGCTAGAAGAATAAAATAGTGACGTAACGTCAGCAAATAATCGCAATAAAGTGATCCAGACTCAATCGGTAAATGAACAGGTCTGACGAAAGATGATCAATGACGACAAAAACACAGAGTAGATGCAGTGACACATGGTACATCAGTTGTTCTTCGACAATCCCTGGTGGAACAGGTTTTCGTTAGTCAGTAGCAAACCCTGTATATGAAGTCAGTATAATGGTATATATTTTTTTGTAAAATGTAACATACTTACCCACAATACGTTGTCCAATTTCCCGAGTCAACAGATTTGACTGCTATTTGAGTCAAAATGTCCATCCGAAAACAATACTCTCTGATAATCGTATGAATATCCATGTAAAATTCTCCAAAACATTGGTTAGTACCATCCATAATTACTGAAACGGAATGTCATGTTAATTGCCAATGATAAGCGATCAAAAACATTTAAAAATATTGACCATCAATTTGCTTCGTTTATATTTTTTGTTTACATGTGTGTTTTCTTTGCATTATTTGTGTTTTATCATTAGTTTGAAACTTTGAATAATATATATCTTTGTAGGAAGTTGACTTCGAAAATATCAATATGCAAGTTTAAAAAAGATTAGGTATGTCGTTGGTTGTGTACTGATTGATTATGTAGTCTGGAAGAACATGATTTATTTATTTATTACGGATTATTGGCTTTGAACTAACTTTCAGTAACTGAGCGTATTCTTAGATCGACACTCTGTGTCTTTAATCTTTATGCAAGTTGTTTTTGTGTGTGTTATATACATTCATTCATTCATTCATGCCTCATAATCTCATTAAGAAAAAAATCACATACCTAATTAAATAAGCATTTAAAAAGTCAGAATGTGAATATATATGTTCAAACTCTTTTAAGTCATTTAGTAACAAACACAAGAAATATGAACATGCTTTGATATGAAAACTGCACTTAAATTTTTACTAGATAACATTTTTGTTCGCTATGGAGATTCCGTATATCGCCAAGTTATCGGAATTCCAATGGGGACTAATTGTGCAACACTTATTAGGGACATGTTTCTGTATTGTTACGAATCACAATGCATGTCTAAAACCATCAAAGACCCAAAGAAACAACATGCGATATAAAATGTTGATGACAATTTTAGATACTTGGATGGTAGTTTGGACTTCAGTATGTACACAAAGAGATTTATCTTGTTGAACTTACTTCCAATAAAGCTAATACTAACAATCAACACTACCCTTTCCTGGATCTTGATATCTACATCTCTTACGTTAAGCTTAATACTAAAATTTACGATAAAAGAGATGATGTTTCCTTGGCACCATGGTGCTTAAGTAAATTTTTTATTATAGTGACATGTGTAAAGTAACATAAATATATATATGTCAGGGACAAACTATTATTCAACGTACAAAATACACCCGGCGCAATGGTCACCTTTTACTTTCAATTCAATATAAATGTTTCAATATCACGTGTTCATTGTCAGTTTAAATTCGAGAGAAAGATAATCATAATTTAAGAAATATCGTTTGTAAAAGTTCGGGAATGGTTCTTCTAAAGTTTATGAACAAGTTAAGAATGTTAACTAGAGTAGACCTTTTGTTTTCTACGGAAAAGTGACACTGCTAAGTATTTAGCTATTTTTTGGGGGTGGTTCACCATTAGAAATGTTAATTGTCCCTAGTTATATAGCTGCATAAAGTCAGGCAACAGTAGTATCTCGTTAAAACAGTTTGTCTGATATTATTATAAAATACAGTTTATAAGAAAATGTAGTTCACTTTCAACATTCTGTGAAATACAAAATCGACATAGTCTATCTTCTACTGAGTCCCCAATATATCTACCAGTCTTAATTCTGATTGGTTATTTCCCGCACCTAAACTGGGCTAGCACAGATCGCTCGTTCTTCATAAGATTTAGTTTTACATAGTGTTCTAATTCACAGTTTGTTTTAAAGTTTAAGTAGGATCGTAGCTTTGGCTTATTTATCAAGGACTCTCTCAATATGCCACAATAAAAAGTTCGTACAATTTGTCCAAAAGATTTTAAATCCACCATTGTTCTACTTTCGTAACACTGTGACATATTATTATATAAGTTCAGTGAAAATATCTTTAATATCACTACACCATTTGTTTGTGCAACGTTCGTGATCCATGTTGGACACCACTTCCGTTGATCGATCGTCTTCAAAAATTGATAGCATATTCCAATAGCAAAAGATATTGACCCTATGCCGAAACTGACTTGGTATCCACCCAGTATCCCCATATAGTGCTAAAATGGGTTCAAATCTGTGTACGCCTAAGTAATATCGAATTGCTTTGTTCTGTACATTATCTAATGCTTGGAACTTCCTATTTCCCCATATTCCAGATGAATAGTCAAGAATAGGGGTAACACCTGAATTAAAAAGTTTTTCATAAGATTGAAACTCAAAATCCTTTAAACTATGGACTTTTGAGATGATTTTACCTAAGGCTTATATATGGTGTATATATATCTCAACTTGTTCGATTTGCTCGTGAATGTAACGACGTATTTGATTTTAACGAAAAAAATCTCTGCACTACTAAAACATAATACACCATGCATGGTTTTCGATATCACACACTTTTGAAAACTTTTATTAAATTGTATAATCGTAACAAGGACATCGTTCGTAAATATAAGTCAATGTGCAGACATCTTATACGTTCAGGTATTTCACATTCCATCTTTTATAGTAATATTCTATACAAATCACAAAAATGTCGTCATTCGCCCCAAAAGCTAACCAAACCTTTACACAGTTAAGTTCACAAGGGATGTAGTTATAGGTTACAAGAGCGCAATTATTTGTTTACATTTTACCGGCAAGTTTTTACCCCAAGATGGTACTCAGAATAGAATCCTATACGGCTTCTGATTGGATGATACAGGAATGGAATTACATTTAATCGAAAGCTTATTCAATTAGGTTTAAAAATTGCAGAAAATCATATTCACATTTTACGAAGTATAGAAAATATCCTCCATTTCTGCACGTCGGAGCCAATAAAAATATGCCTTTTTCATTAAGCGAAAAAAATAGACGATCTTTTTCAACTGCATTTTAAGTCAATTTCTGCCGCATGACCCTATATATTTTTTTGGTTGTACTGCAACACTGGCTTTTCTAGTAACAGGAACTGCAATCCGTTTTTCCCTAGTTTGTGTAGTCTTCGAGAAAAAAAATACGGAACACCAGTGGTACCCTATGGAAAATGCATTACGAATAATTGCGCTCTTGTAACCTATAGAAAAAAGACATTTTTTTTTAATAAGGCTTTGAAAAATGTAAAAAATAGTCATTTTGCTCGGACAAAATGTGAAACAGCGAGAAATGGGGTCAAATGGACTTTTCATCAACGTGAATTCAAGCTATAGTCTGTTTCCTATTTGTGTTGATTTCCATATCTAAATCTCGGGTGGGCTCGAATGTCGACAAAGTATGAAGAGAATAGAACGGTTTTGTGATATCTACTGTTTTTATGGGGAAAAGCATGTGTATATCTTGAATTTGAAGATTTATTTTGGTTTTTAACCATAATGATCGTGACTCAGTTGCTATTCTAGCAAAAAGCTAATTTGGTGAAAATTGACCAAAAGGGTCCCTAAATAAACACCAACGATTTAGTTAAATTGCAAAGTAGAAAAATTAATCTTGGCATTGAATATTGTAGTCCAAGAATAGTTTCTCTTGCCAAAGTAGTAATATTATCATATTTTCAAAATTTGGAAAAACTATAGTCTGTTTCAAAAACGTGTTTTTTCAAGAAATGGTTTCATTTAAAGCCATTCTTCAAAATTCGATGTAGCTTTTCCATATCAGAACGGTTTTGACGACAATATGATCAGTGCTGGATGACCTTTGAAAAATAAGGCCAGTAAATAAACTTTATCTTCATGTCTTTTTGAACAGTACCGTATTTGGTGAAAAAATCAGTTCAAATTTTTGGCCCGATCGGCGGGCAAAAACTAATTCTCAAAATTCAGAGAGTGATCAGATAATGTTTTGAAGACGTGATTTTATCTAGATAGACGCTAGCGCTTCATTTAGCGCGGGCGCTTAATTTTCGGATTTTTTTTTTCATTACTGTATAGGTTACAAGAGCGCAATTATTTGTTTACATTTTACCGGCAAGTTTTTACCCCAAGATGGTACTCAGAATAGAATCCTATACGGCTTCTGATTGGATGATACAGGAATGGAATTACATTTAATCGAAAGCTTATTCAATTAGGTTTAAAAATTGCAGAAAATCATATTCACATTTTACGAAGTATAGAAAATATCCTCCATTTCTGCACGTCGGAGCCAATAAAAATATGCCTTTTTCATTAAGCGAAAAAAATAGACGATCTTTTTCAACTGCATTTTAAGTCAATTTCTGCCGCATGACCCTATATATTTTTTTGGTTGTACTGCAACACTGGCTTTTCTAGTAACAGGAACTGCAATCCGTTTTTCCCTAGTTTGTGTAGTCTTCGAGAAAAAAAATACGGAACACCAGTGGTACCCTATGGAAAATGCATTACGAATAATTGCGCTCTTGTAACCTATAGAAAAAAGACATTTTTTTTTAATAAGGCTTTGAAAAATGTTAAAAATAGTCATTTTGCTCGGAAAAAATGTGAAACAGCGAGAAATGGGGTCAAATGGACTTTTCATCAACGTGAATTCAAGCTATAGTCTGTTTCCTATTTGTGTTGATTTCCATATCTAAATCTCGGGTGGGCTCGAATGTCGACAAAGTATGAAGAGAATAGAACGGTTTTGTGATATCTACTGTTTTTATGGGGAAAAGCATGTGTATATCTTGAATTTGAAGATTTATTTTGGTTTTTAACCATAATGATCGTGACTCAGTTGCTATTCTAGCAAAAAGCTAATTTGGTGAAAATTGACCAAAAGGGTCCCTAAATAAACACCAACGATTTAGTTAAATTGCAAAGTAGAAAAATTAATCTTGGCATTGAATATTGTAGTCCAAGAATAGTTTCTCTTGCCAAAGTAGTAATATTATCATATTTTCAAAATTTGGAAAAACTATAGTCTGTTTCAAAAACGTGTTTTTTCAAGAAATGGTTTCATTTAAAGCCATTCTTCAAAATTCGATGTAGCTTTTCCATATCAGAACGGTTTTGACGACAATATGATCAGTGCTGGATGACCTTTGAAAAATAAGGCCAGTAAATAAACTTTATCTTCATGTCTTTTTGAACAGTACCGTATTTGGTGAAAAAATCAGTTCAAATTTTTGGCCCGATCGGCGGGCAAAAACTAATTCTCAAAATTCAGAGAGTGATCAGATAATGTTTTGAAGACGTGATTTTATCTAGATAGACGCTAGCGCTTCATTTAGC